TTTTGACTTCTCAGCAACGTATCCCCATCTAGTATTTGTATCCCACCTTGTTTTACAAATTTGCTGTTTAAACTTCGTTGTTGGTTAGTCAGTTGACCAACAACATATACCAGGGGTGCATGTACTAGGTGTCCAATTAACCGTTTACACCTGGTCAGGTGATACATAACACCTGTAGGCAGTACCCAGGTGGGACAGGGCTTACCTAATTGTCTTTATATAGCCAATATTGCTTGTTTACCTGTAGTGTAGGTAATTACTTACCTAAACAAGAATAATATTATTTAAAAAATTTAAAGGTTCGATAATATACCCTTACAAGATATGTTTGCAAGGACAAGGGATAGGAGCTGGGAAATTTTCAGAAGACTGATCTAGAATATCAATGGATCTAGATGTTTGGCAGCTCTTAAGGGAATTGATATATAGAATAACAAGAAAATATTACCCTGTGATTCTAGGAGAAAGGTTATTGCATATAGACTTATAAATACATTATTTACTAGCAATGATGAAAGAAGGCATAACATATAGTATAGTAAATAGGTATAATAGTAATTATCTGATATATTTGGGGATACATTTTTGTTGGCCATCAGATATGTATTCCCCCTCCACCTCACCTGTATATATATGATAGACCTCCCCTAGAAACTTTTCTGATGACCATCATATACATGTATGTTAACAGTATTAACAAGTATATATATATATGTGTGTGTGTGTGTGTGTGTGAGTGTGTGTGTGTGTGTGTGTGGTGGTGGTGGTGGTGGTGGTGGTGGTGTGTGTGTGTGTGTGTGTGTGTGTGTGTGTGTGTGTGTGTGTAAAAGGCTAACAAGGCAAATAAACTTGATTATCGCTAACGTTTTCAAGCCGTGTCTCGAGTACGCAATAAGAGAGTCCTGAAAGAAGAAAGTGAATCTATATCACACATATCAGAGGTTCACATAGAGCAATTATCTCGTTTATGATATCATTTACAAGAATTACAGTTTAACAGTCTAGAAGATGTTAATATTCTGTATAAATCTGTTTAAAAGCTTGTCTTGTTGATTGGCAGGTATCAGTCCATTATTACATATAATTGGATGTACAAACAATTAATGACGTCATAGTTATGTTTGAATTCTATTTGTGTTGGAACACATACACATATACATTTACATTTAACAATTTTTACAAATGAAAAACGCCAAATCAAAATTCAAATCATGCTCCTCTCCTCCAAGGAAAAATGAGTATTAACACAAGAATAAACACTGATATCATGTCCAGTTTGCTCCGATTCCCCTTATCAAGTCCGATTTATGTTAAACTTAAGGTGGAAATCTTAACCTGAAATGTGTTTTCATGACTGTATAAAGAAATTAATGTATTTCATATTTTTGAAATTATATCTCTTGCTTTGGATTTAACCATTTACAAATGATCACCCCGGAAAAGTAATGACTTTTCCTAAGGTGATATATAGCAAATCTAATTATTTCCTCAGTCATGAAATTATCTATATTCCGGTATTATCGAGAAATTATGACGACATTCAAAGGAAAATCATTTTAGATAAGAAACAAAAACATACCTTCTACCCGGATGTGATTACTTTGATCTATATATAGATCTTTGTCATACTTACCTGTCACTATGTTTATATCTTAAGTTGCCATACTTGCCTGAATATTATGTCTTCTTAAATATTATCATATTTCGCTTTTAGCAGTCATGAAATTATCTATATTCCGGTATTATCGAGAAATTATGATGACATTCAAAGGAAAATCATTTTTAAAAAAAGAAACAAAAACATAACTTCAACCCGGATGTGATTCCTTTGATCTATATATAGATCTTTGTCATGCTTACCTGTCACTATATTTATATTTTAAGTTGCCATACTTGTCTGGATTACACGACACTGTTCGCAGCGTAAGTTTACCCGGTTTTGTTTATTACAAAAGTGCTGGTATGATTAATTTTGTAACAGTTTTGAAGGTATATTGATAGATGAGTATATTCTTTCAAATATTCAAAAATCTGTTACATTCTTCTTTGTCAAAACAAAATGTAACTATGCATTTTATCTTAAGCAGGATATTTCCTTGATTATGTATGGCAACATGATTTGATTTTCAAAAGTATACATCTGCAGCTATGAAGTAAAGATAATTTGTTTTGTGATATCAAAACGGTTAATAAAGAGAAGTTAATTAGTATGGAGTATAAAGTAAAGATTAATTTTGTGTTTCATATTCTAAATAAACAAATACTCTCTAAATATGGAATTCTAAATAATCGAAAGTAATTTCAGATAACGTATTGTCAAATTAATAAATGTATTCTCAACATAAATATTCTCAATTAAAGATAGATCTAAAAGTCAGTTTTATTATCTCATGTTTCTTAAAGCATACACTCACAAACAGATCAAGAGTTAAAAGGAGACCATTGCGATATGTATATAATTAGAAATAGGAATTTCCGCATACCCCTTCAAAAATATTTAAGGTATTCAGACTTAAGGGTTTTGTTGTAGTTCACACTTTGGACTAGGGATCAAACGTTTGTTTGAATAAGTTCGTTATATGATAAAAATTGTAGATATAAGAAATGTTTAGATCGTCGCCAGTACTAGGGATAAACTATACATTATATAATGTGCACATATTCTTATTGTAACGTACACCTGTGATGTTATCGTATATATCTAAATGCTTATATATCGGTCTGATTTGTACATGCCTAAACGTATATCTCGATACTACAAAACTGTATGTTATTGATGTTTTTTTTTAATAAATTGAGCATCGGTCAGAAGATTGCACAAAAAGCACCTCTAAATACAAATTCAGAGGTGGTAGAGCCAACCAATGAATTAGACTTCGTCATGCAGCTGTTTCGTCATTCTTGGACTCGTTAGTGATACTGAGGGTCTAAATTTTGGAGTCTAGGAAGCGAATGAGAAAAATCCAAAGTGACTGAAAGAAATGTCAAAATCTAGATAGGGAGATGAACTAGCACCATAAATTTCAAAACTCCCATATATCTGATCATTTTAAAACAACTGTGTATGTGTATATATTGAACCGTGCCATTATTAGAATGAAGTAAAACTTGCAGGTTACGGCAATCCACGGGACTAAAAGTCCATCAGCAATGTCTACCAAATGCAATCTCTAAAAGCACTTTTAAATATAGATTTAGAGTTAGATACAGAAGAGTCAACCAATGAATTAAAATGTATCATACATCTATTTTTATATTACGAAATCCATTCGTACCCAAAAGTAGAAAAAACAAAAACAAAGAACAATTGAAAGCGATTCACATGTCTATTTATATCCATAATGAATATTAAACATCAATCTGTACATGACTTGATTATTTTTCTATGGCATAATTTAACGTATATATTTATAATGGTGCAACAAGTGAGGTTTAAATAATAGAAAAAGTCTCAATTTTGATAAATTAGACTACCATGAAATTAAAAAAAGGAAATTTAAAGCGGTCGATTAGAGCAAGGTATGAATGAAAGAAACATAAATATTTATTCATATGCTTCATTTTTCAGAACAGCGGGACAAGAGGATGAAACATCGTCCACTGTTCATTATCTGGAGAAATTAACCCGAATTTAAACAAAAATCTGTTTAATAATACGCAAAAATGGAACTTTACCTTTTGATTTGGCTGATGGTTTTTTTTCCAAGTTTGTATTTAGCTTCACCTATAACAGACGAGAACTTTTTCTATCGCTCGAAATCTATCAATGGAACGAGTATCATTTGTTTGTCCTGCCCGCCAGGAACATATCTCGAAGAAGACTGCATCGCCCCAAAAACAACAGGAAGGTGTCGAGTGTGCCCACTGGGCTATTTTCAGCCAACCAACACTTACTCTCTTACCTGCCTCAAGTGTGCAACAGAATGTCTACACAAAGATGCCGGAGAAAATTCAACGTATTCATCACAATCTCAAGCTATATGTGAATCTACTCAAAATTATTGTTTATGTCAAAACGGCAGCTGCATACTAGATAGCAATTGCCCACCTGGAAAAGAACCTGTAATTGAAGGTATTGTATAATCAAGTTATCCAAATGTTAAATAGTAAATAACTAGTTTTTAAAGTATGGTGAATCACACTCGTTATTAAGTAAAATGATCCGACTTGAAAAGTTGTTTATATTTGTATGAGTGCATTTCTCATCCGATTAGTTATACGATTTAAAATACATATACATTATGTCAATTTCGAAATCATGGTCGAGAAAAACATCATTGAGATTCTGTCACCAAATCAAAATTGAAGTCGAAGAGGAAATTCAGTACTGATAAAAGTCAGTGTTTGGTTGGTAAATTTGAGGTCTGAAACAGATCTATGATTTTACCATTTTGAGTTCACAGATGGAATACATCGCGAATTATAAGCTTTCCCAGAAAAGCAAAAAGAGCAGATGACCACAATACTTTATGATAAAAGACGTCCTTACTCTTAAACATTGCCATTCATCTGTTAAAATGATCATTTCAGCAACAAGTTCTGAACACACAGTGTGTCAAGAATGTCCAGAAGAGACGTTTTCTGAGGTATACTCAAGAACAGAGATGTGCAAACCTTTTAAGAAATGTGGAACACATGAAGTCGCCATCTTAAATTCGGATAAATCTCACGATAGAGTTTGTATACCTCGCTATGGCGATCATGTCAACATTACTGATAATATGACTACAATGTCCCAATCACCATACGTAACTGACACCAACAGAAAAGTTTTGCGGCAATCAGTTGAAATCTTTATTATTGCAGGAATTATTTTTATAGCATTTATATTAATAGCCATTGTATTAATAATAAAAATGTACTTCAAATCTAAAAAAAAATATTGCTTTAATGATGTAAAAACCGAGCTGCAGAATGAAAATGCATTGTGTGGCTATAACAGTCAAGAACACCAAGAGCAGTCAATCGAGTCTGGAGTCATAAGTGTTAACGAAAAGACTATGCAGTGTAATTACAATCGGCGGCAAAAGAAAGACGACCAAACATTGCCAAATATGCAGCAAGTGTATACCGAGCAATTAATTGCAGATGATAGCATCGTTTTCAAAGGTCACAACCATCCCAATGATTTAAATAAGTTGCAGGGTGCACATCAAGAAGAATATGAACTATCATTTGGACATATCGACGCCGTGCAGTGTAGTTGCAATGGCAGTAAGATGTATGATCAAAGGTTGCCAAATATCGGTCAAGAAGAAGCACATTCGGAGCTATTTCGTGATGTTTATAACACTGGCGGTAGACTCCGAAAGTCTTTGACCCTTTCACTTCACGAACTTGAACCTTTATCAACACAGTCTAAAAATAATGGTACAATTACAACGTCTTTACCCATGAATACACCATCAACTGAAGAAACAATACCTTTACCACATTTACATAAACAGAAGACAATATTATCAACAGACTGGCAGACGTGTGAACTTATCGACAACCAAGGATGCATTTTACAACTTCGAAATTCTGATGTTATCACAACGTTCCCTCCTGGGGTTCTTTCTGGTGTGAGCTCCGATTATTGTTACAAAACTGTCCATAACAACATTGAACGATTGGCTGCTGTTTTGGGTTTACCTGTTGACACTATCATTACAAGCCCTGCTCCAGAATATCATATGCAGACAAGTTTTGCCGACTTTGTTGAAGTAAAGGTTCCTCATCGAATGCCCAAAAACTTTAAAGAAATAAAAGTACATAGTTTTTCAAAACACTGCAATGGTGACAAAGTGGATTTGGTTGAGGTACCACGGTATGAAACCAAACAAGAAGCTGGTGACAAAATGGATATGTTTTTTGTAATTAATTCCTCATCTGTTCTGATCTATACAAAGCATTTTTCAGGATTCGTCTGCACAACGTGTCAGGGTTTTATTGAATACAATTTGAGTGCAAGTATTTACGGGCGGAAGGGAGTGATTGACAACTGTACCGACACACTGGATGTAATGCTGTATCTGAAGGGTGCAAAGTCGACTATTACTGATTTCGAGGTTTGTATACGGCGCTGTCCCTTCTATTGTATCAATTGTGATGAGCTGCAAATACCAGTATATAAATACAGCATGAAGCATATGTCCATAAGACTGGAAAAATCGCTTCAGTATACATTATTAAGATATGACGGTTGTAATCTATACCAATGCTTGTAATTAGAAAAGATACAAAACATCAAAAACGAGAGAGAGAGAGAGAGAGAGAGAGAGAGAGAGAGAGAGAGAGAGAGAGAGAGAGAGAGAGAGAGAGAGAGAGAGAGAGAGAGAAGGGGGGATTATTCTGTAGCGATATAGATTGATAACACGTACGATAAAATGATACATGATATTTATCAGGTTACCATGGAAGATAAAATTGACAAGAGATTCCATCACCTAGAAACGGAAAGGGTGAAACTACTAGAGCGACACCAACAAAGAAAGGGTGGGCAACTACAGTTCCGATTCGGTTTGCTTAGCAATTCTGTACATAATTGGATACACAGAAAGTATAACAATAACGACCAATTTCAACACAGCTTGTTGGTAAGTGTACAGCATTCAAAAGATGCTGTATTTCAAATAATACATACAACACAGCTTGTTGGTAAGTGTACAGCATTCAAACGATGCTGTATTTTAAATAATACATACGTTTTATTTAACATAAAAGCATTGCAGTTTAGATGTCCGCCAGCTAATTCCAATACATATGCAAAGGTAACATATTGAGGCAATATTTACTGCTGTAAAATTTAATTGGATGCATATTTAATTTGTAATTAAAGATTAGTGTTCGACATAGATTCTAGTCTTATTAATGTCACCTTAAGAGGTATGGCGCTTAACGATACTGGCCACAAATCTTAGATATTTGTTCAGATTATCAATATATGCATACATATATATTGATAAAACGCATCGAAATTATTTTAATTTGCCGAAACAGACACATTCAGGTCAAATATTGTCGGTTGTTATGCGCCATTTCTCTTTGAATTTATTCATTTTAATTGCATTTAACCCATAGTCATCATAGGATATTATTGATTTACAAGCAGATGGATGAACAAATTTAAATCATGTTTTATGTTTCAAAATTAAAATGCAACTAGAGTCTTGGTAGACCATACATAAAACATATACCAAACAATAATACCGCTTAAATGTTGTCCATATTTTGGACATTATTTAAATCAAACTGATTCATGACGGAAATTCTAAATTAACTGATTATTACTGCCTTTTTAATGATAGCTGGTTGACCCGGAGACACTCATGCGTGATTGTGAAAAACACATCATTCATAGCCCTAACACAAAATGGTATCTTCAGCGAAATGGCGAAACCAATGAGAACTGCGATTTTTACATCGAAGTTGTTCATAAAGAGAAACAACCATCAGCACTAGATGAAATGTCTTTTGTGAAGACAAGTATACCTGCCAGTGAAAATTTCGCGGTTGCCTCAGGATTACCCCAAAGAGTAAGTACACGTAATTACTGTTCATCGTTGTATCAACTCAAACTGCATACAGGTAATTTGAAAATGTAGTTATTCTTCAAATAACGATAGTACGTATGGCCCTGATTAATGTTAAGGCTGGTTGATTACTGGCTGGCGAACATTTCCATCAACATTTGTAGATAAGCCACGATTATGGTCTTTGATCATTTTAAAGATGTTTAGTATAATAATGAAGTACATATATATTTGATTTGCATAATTTTCGCTATTCCAATTGATAGACACTACTGCAAATTATATGGCTACCCAACTTAATATTTATTCCAAATTCCATGAGCTTCGTCAGTCTTGTGTTTAAGCTAGTGCACCCCTTAATCTGGTTCCTCAACATTTATTTGGACTCAAATCTCCTCCAAGGTTTAAACAACTATTTGGACCTTTACCATCACTGACGAGTCCTAGAACAACTATGAAAATGATTTCTTAATTATTTGGTGCTAATGTCTCTAACAATAAATTCTGTTCACTTGAATGTCTTTTGTACAATTCTTCACTTAAAATGTACCTTTTCCCCCAGGAGAATACAGCGACGATTCCCGGAGCAATAACAGACATAGCGTTGACACTGAAAGAAAACCTTAACCAGGAAGAATGTCTGAAACTCATCAAACATTTGGGGTGTCTACAATATATACCCCCTGCATCAGACAGGTAAGGCATTCAAGAAAAAGCAGTCAATCATTTGTTATTCATTTCAGAACTATTTTATCAGCATGGCCTCTCAGTACATCCATAATATATTGCACGAAAAGATCCTTTCATTCATTCATTCGTTCGTTAGTTCAGCCGTTTGCATAGAAATCCCCTGACATTTTACTTTTTTATAGTAAATTACAACCTTCATCTTGGTAAACTACATCCTTCATCTTGTTAAAGTACATCCTTCATCTTGCTAAACTACATTCATCATCTTCGTAACTGCATAGAAATCCCTTGACATTTTACTTTTTTATAGTAAATTACAACCTTCATCTTGGTAAACTACATCCTTCATCTTGGTAAACTACATCCTTCATCTTGATAAACTACATCCTTCATCTTGATAAACTACATTCTCCATCTTGTTAAAATACATCCGTCATCTTGGTAAATTGCATCCTTCATCTTGGTGAATTACATCCTTCATCTTGGTAAACTACATCCTTCATCTTGGTAAACTACATCCTTCATCTTGGTAAATTACATTCTTAATCTTGGTAAATTACAACCTTTATCTTGGTAAACTACATCCTTAATCTTGGTAAATTACAACCTTCATCTTGGTAAATTACAACCTTCATCTTGGTAAACTACATCCTTCATCTTGGTAAATTACATCCTTCATCTTGGTAAATTACATTCATCATCTTCGTAACTACATCCTTCATCTTGGTAAACTACATCCTTCATCTTGGTAAACTACATCCTTCATCTTGGTAAATTACATCCTTCATCTTGGTAAATTGCATCCTTCATCTTCGTAACTACATCCTTCATCTTGGTAAACTACATTCTTAATCTGGGTAAATTACAACCTTTATCTTGGTAAACTACATCCTTAATCTTGGTAAATTACAACCTTAATCTTGGTAAATTACAACCTTCATCTTGGTAAACTACATCCTTCATCTTGGTAAATTACATCCTTCATCTTGGTAAATTACACTCATCATCTTCGTAACTACATCCTTCATCTTGGTAAACTACATCCTTCATCTTAGTAAACTACATTCATCATCTTGGTAAATTACATCCTTCATCTTGGTAATGGTAAACTACATCCTTCATCTTAGTAAATTGCATCCTTCATCTTGGTAAATTGCATCCTTCATCTTGGTAAACTACATCCTTCATCTTGGTACATCTTGTAAACTACATCCTTAATCTTGGTAAACTACATCCTTCATCTTGGTAAACTACATTCATCGTCTTGGTAAATTACATCCTTTATCTTGGTAAATTACATTCTTAATCTAGGTAAACTACGGCAAAGTGTTATTATTATTGCAAACAAGGAAACTTTATATCCATTTCTTCGCTCAAGCATAAAACCGATCATGTTAACCCCGATTTTAATTCGCCCAAAACATCCTAAAATATATGTTTCACAGCAAACTTGAGCCCATTTTCAATTTTCCTTTCCAATATATACACAATTGTAGCTACTCGATATTCAGTCTCTTTGTTTCTGAGATATGATGTTGATTATTTAGCAAAATAGCAACAATCGATTAAGTTTAAGAAGAGCCCGGTATTATTGTGTTATCCCTTGCGATATGAACTCTGGTGTGTTCGATAACCGTTAGCGAACTACAGTTCTTGGATGTAACATGTGTCTGCATGAAGGATTTTTTTTGATAAATCAGAAGACGGTCATCCTTTCGGAACGTTTGATAATATGTTCTTTGTATCGTTCAAGTGTCTGCATGGAAATCTGTCTTTTTGTCTACAGAGTAAAATTGTCATTTTCGTGGCGGCTTTATTTTCGTTGAATTCCTGGTTACTCATAAGGAACAAATTTATATGACAACGAATTGATAAACAGATATAACTTGACATGGATTAGTATGAGTCGATTTCGCAAGCAAGTTTATCCACGAAATCAGTTGCTAGCGAAAATGCACATTTTTATTCAAAACCATGAAATTTGAGCCCCACGAAATTATGACCTTATAGTACTTTAACCTCGTGTAATCTATTTACACATTGTTATTCTGTTGTTTGTCAATGACATTATGTTTAGAGTCGAGCTGTTAAAACGAGCATAAGTCATTGATCACCAAAACCGTTTTATGGATGGAATCATTTACAGTGAGCACAAAAGGAATCCCCATTCAAACATACCTTAATTCACCAAAACCAATGCTGAAAAGCCTTGACTGTTTTGTTATGCGATTAAATTTCATGTTGTTATTTTTTTATAAACTTTATTTTTCAGTAGACAGAGAAACGATTTTCGTTACGACTACTGGTACTCTGCATTCATACAATGCTATAACCGTCTTCAAGACAATTTCATCACACGAGTCTTGGATGGTTTAACGAAGATGGATAAAACTCGTTTAGTAACGCTTGTGCGTGTTCATAGCCCATCGAACAACATAAGAGTAGCGTCTGTGTCACCCATTCATCGACCTCCTGCTGTACAGGATGATGACAGACATTTGATTGCACAACCTTCCTCAGCAGAGGGTGATAAAAGTGATTAAATTAGCGTGCTGTAGATGTTTACACTAAAATTGGAAGTTGAAAGTATGTTACTGTAAATCACTTATTTTCACGAGGTTTTATTTTCGGTCATTTAAAATTAGTATCATCAAAATTGATTGTCAATGGTTTTTTTTTTTCATCTGTCATTATGTGTGCATTAAAGTTATACATATATTGCAACTAAATTTGATGTATCGGAGGTTTCACAACAAGCAATGCGACAAAAACATCGCTTGGAATCCACCAAACCTTTGTTGGTATCTGTGTGTGGTTGTTCAGTAGAAGATTGAATTGACTTTGGATGAAAGTTCCGATCGGTATTAACATTTTGGTGAATTTGTACACGACATGCCTTGATCATGACGTACGGTATAAAGCGAGTGTACTTATAAATGACAGAATTATCAATGTTATAGAGTTCATTATGTATTTCAATGCCTCCAACATGGTTCGAACCCAGGACCTGTGGTCTACTAGCTATATACAGTCTGACGCTCAACCGGTGGAACTAAAGAAAAGCTATCTCTAGTCGAGCGGTTTATTGCGGGAAGTATGTTCCAGGGTTATGTATTCCCCACCCAGTAAATGTCTTACCTTAGTTACTTTGATATTGACATGATGCATTGTGGGATACTCCCAAAAGCAACCAATCTCTCCCAGAGTGCATTGCAGAACCCTACATAATATTGTACCTGTTCAAACCGTTTGTTTTCTCCATATATACTATCAAAGTAACTAGCTAATATTATTTTATTTTTACTAATGAAATTTACTGTATTGTATCTAACACTAGCCATCCTTTTTTATTAGTAACAAATGAGTCTATATCTTTATATAATCTGTACATGTTACTTCCATGACCCTGGACAAGTGCCAAACGAATTGTTTACTCCTTCCGTTTCCAAATGAAGTTACGGCAACAGGGATGAAAAGGTTACAAAACCAGAATTTCATTCCAACTATAGTTACAACCATCCCATGGCATTCCCTTAGATAATTCTTGCACTTGTTTCTTGTTGTGTTAACTTAAAAAAATGCTGAAAACAAACACCTCACAGTGGTCCAATTGTCAAAACTCTGGTGAAGGAATCAGAGGAACCTTCAATCTCTCCAAATGTCTACGGTCTGGTATGGACGTAAAAAAATACAATAATCATAAAGGACGTATTTTAAAAAAAAAGAAAAAAAAAATTTCTGGTATGTAAGCAATTTGTAATACACTTTAATCTCGGTTTTTGTCACGTTTGGGCCTTTCTGTTTAAAGCAGTATACTTTTATGTAAGTCCATGATCCATACATTAAACAATGGACATAAAAACAAACAAAATATTAAGAAACAACTGAATTTATCTTTAATAATCTAGTGCAAGATTTAATTATACACAAACATATTGAAACTTAAATATATCACATATTCCAAATACTTACCATACCTAATCATTAGCATAACTGTGACACAAGTGTAAATATAGTGTTACACCTTAGATGTGGAGAAATATTTGTTACAAAGGATTGAGACTAGATAATGTGTTGTTAAAGGAACATAGACTTACAATCCCAAAGGCATACCACATTCTAATCATATGTTGTTTTACAACAAACATCGTACAGACACAAAGAAAATCAAACAAACAAGAGACAATGAACTGAAACTATGAAAAAAATGAGCATGAAAATTGACAAAATATCAAAAACAAAATATTCTAGGTATAAAGAAAATAATTGATAATACACAAATTATTTGTGAAAGTATAAACACGCAGACTAATAGAGTCATCACACAAGTGACATTGAATATGTCATTAACATTTGATTTCTATGGAGATCTTGACCACACCACTGTTTTTTTTATAAAACACTGATTTCTGGAAAGACAAGAAAATTTCAAGATATTCAAATTTTGGATCAGATGTATTGATAATAATACAATCTATCACCTTCAAACAGAGGCCCAGTGGAGATTTCTCTGGCTTTAAGTTTTGTGTTTGTACACCCTGAAGTCTACTCTTCTCCATATTCTTATCCGACCATATCAACCTATGCCCCATTCACTTCTATACTGACCCCCATGACTGGAACCATTTTTTTTGGCCATTTAAGAATGAACCTGTAACAAAACTCAAGATAGCCACCTGTTGGCCATTTTGTTTTTTCTGATCAGTCCCAAAATCAAACTGGAACAAACAAGGGCCAAGGGAAAACCTGCAATTGAAGCTTGAGAGAGATGTTGTAAATAGCTTTAACATGAATTATGTTGTATAAATATCCAAAGTTGACAGAATTGTTTTGTCACAATCAATGTTAAAACAATTAAGCTTTCTACTACTGTATATTTCGAAAAGATAAGTGATGTATTTGTTTTTAGAAGAATGGTTTACAAGAACAGCAATTCTTTTTTGCTATATCATTAAAAATATAATCAGTTTCTTATCCCTCTGTATTATATGTCCCTATTCCCACTCTTAAAACAGAAACATGTTTTGGTACATGCACATGTTCAAGAACTTTTTGTTTTACCTCAAATAAACATTGTAGATATTGAAATGTTTTTCTTTACTTTCATGTCCATTTACAACACAGTTCTATGCAAACTTTTAGGAAAACAATTGTATATATATATATATGTTTCAAAACAACGAATAAATTGTATTCTCTACTGAAAAGTGATTGTTGCTTTCTGTTCATTTTTAACCATCTTAAATTATTTTACCAAAGCGTGGAATTAATGTATTCTAACGAGGTCATGATTGAAATTATTTACAAACGGATTAACATCACTTGGAATTCCATAAGAAAATTTGATCAGAATATGATTGTGACATTAAGGTATTTATTCAGTATTTTACTCTGGATTTCGTAAGATTGACTGCGAAGGAAACATAAGTTTGTGGATATATTTGTTAAATTATAATTTGGCTCAATAGAAATTGCAAAGTTACTATTTTTCTGCTCTGAGATGGACAACTCTGTTTGGATTCAGTCTTTGGGATAGAAGAGTTCAGTATTCCAAATCATAGAAATCACAGAGTGAATTTTTTCCAAGGTGGTATGAGAGATTTCTTACTTACTTCTACAGTTTGAACACTAAATTTATTCCATAATTTAACAATCTTACATCTGTGATGGAGCAACAAGCTTAACACTGATTCTACAGACTAGTTTTTATCAAAATTTTGTAATAATTGCTTGTTATGTTAGCTTTCTGGGTTCATCATCCAGCGAACAGTAAATGCCATTTTGAGGCAGGTTTGTCTTGTTATAGCTGGTGAGTACCTCACTGAACAGCAAAAGGGTGCCCTAATCATCCTACCCATTGAAATGTAGGTAAAATGTCTTTCCGAAGGACACAACCATGACAGCAGACCGACCTGTTTCTAAGGCAAAAATGCAAACCACCATGGGTAGGGAGTTCCAAACTACACACCTCCAATGTTCAACTAAGATTACGTACCTCTACACTCTGAAACAACTGAACTATTGTGATCCTTCTTTATAATGAGCCAATGATATAACTGACAGTGATATATGTTGACTTCTACCTTCCTCAGACCTATTGGAGATCAACAGTGTCTAATATTCCAAAACTAAAATACAGTCTTGTAAAAACATGAAAGCCCATACAATGACAAAGGCAAGATAAAGGGTAAATCTTTTTCAAAGTATCAAATTTTGAAGTCTTTCATTTCTAATATATTTACACCTGTTGGAACTTTATATGAATGATTCTTAAACATTTCAACAAGAATAATTCATTTATCTAAGCTTACAGCCAACATCAAATCAGTTCTTTTTTTTTGTTCTTTTTATGATAACAATTCCTTAATAATGTTTTTGGACATTGCACAAACCCTTTAAAAAGGTATCACAATCACAGAAGCAATGACAAATAACACACAATCACATGATGATGGCTTTAAATAGCCAAGAAAAAGGCAGCAATCCTTGTTGAAATCCTTCATAAATACAACAAGTATCCATAGTACTGTGGCAATATTTCACAACAATATACCTCATATTGAAACCAGATATGTTCAGGCCCAGGTTAAATGAATGCTCCAAAAGTATTCCTTAATTTGTCCATAGAAGAACCATTGCTGGTGTCAAAGAAATTGCTCAGTTATTCTTTATTACTTACCTCTGCATGGAAAAGACTGAGTGACAAGAAATTTCTGAATATCTTTCATGAAACTTGGTCCCAATATTGACAAAAAATGTCATTGATGGTATTATAGTGTCAATTTATGTACATTTTAAATGAAGTTACTTCTAACATAGGGATTAATAACACTAGACAAAATATTTTCAATTCAGTAAACCTATATAACACTTATATAAGAAAACCTGAAGTATGACTTCAAAATCTCATGAGAAATGTTAATGAATTCAATGTAATTTGAAACACATTTCAAATGTGTTGATGTCAACGTACTTATTTTGACGCAATTAAATTTCAAATTTTTTAACAATAAGCATGATGATAAATTTGTAAATAGATAATAATATATATATAAAGACTATGCAGAGACTGCATTTAGCATGATCATACTGTAGTGCAATATAATCACCCAAAAAATCGCTAATCTAAAAAAGCCACTGAAATATGTACATTTACAGTATATGTCATTAGATTTAAAGTTTCTTTGATAAATATGATCTATATTGATATGTACTTTATGAATCATTTCAGTCCTTTCAAAATTCATGTCATAAATGATAATTTAATTCCTATACCGTGTATTGAATATCACCAACATGAGATCCAAGAGGGATCTTGGTGCCAATCATTGTTTGGTCTTTATTTTTTCTTTAAAAGTTGGATATTTTCCTTATTTTTTCCTCTGTTTTAGCTCTCAATTATACAAAATTTGAACATTCTTCTGAAAAAATATCAACAATTAACTGTCACTGTCAAATTCAAGATGGTTGGCGGTCAGCCATTTTGTTTTTCCTGATCAGTCCCAAAATCAAACAAGAACAACTAGGGACCATGGGGTGCCAACATATGAAATTTGAAAAGATATCAATCTAGGACTTCTCGCACAACAGTGATAAAATTCTTTCATTCTTGAAATCCAAGATGGCTGCCTCTCCTCCATTTTTTTCACTGATCAGTCCTAAAGTCAAACAGGCACAACTATGATCTAGGCACAAAGAGGAACATACATAAGAAATTTCAGGGAGATTCATCCATTACTTTTAAAGAAATAGCGATATATTTCATTTCTAAAATACAAGATGGCCTTCTATCAACCATTTCATTTTCCTGACAAGTCCCAAAATCAAGCAGGCATGACAAGGGACCAAGAGGAACCTAAATACAAATTTCAGACCAATCCATCTAGTCCCTCTCAAGAAATACAGATAACAATTTTTCGTTGTTGAAATTCAAAAAGGCCGTCTGTCTGCCGTTTTCATCCAGTACTTTTTACTTTCATTGTAAAAACTCAAGAAAGCTACCTGTTGGCCCGATCAGCCCAAAAATAAAACTCAAATGAGAACACCTGCGAGAGAGGTGCTTTCCAAGAAATAGCAAGAACAAAAACTGTTTATGGACAGACAGACCAGTTTAGAAAAGCTTGTATTGTGATAATGAGGTACAGCTGAATTGTAGCTACTGGGGTAAGGCAATGGTACATACTCTACTTAAACTTATATCATGATCATGTACTATAATATATATATATTGTACATGATAAATATACATTTATTGTATCAATCATACAATAAGTCCAGAGGGCCGCTTATTGCACAAAGTCTGAGGGTGAGCTTATTACAGGACAACACAAGAAGCTTAGCAGCCTTGACGGTTACCCGAGATATGCAATACTGAATATAAAGGTTAAAGGATAGTTATCATGAAACAGAAATTGTGACAATGAATATAGTAAGTCATTGTTGATACATGCATACCATCAAAACTGTCATCCTATACTGATAATACTTACAAAGTTATTTTAAGTGGGAAATAACCAACGTCATAATCAAAAATGTAATTTTTCTACGAAAATTACACTAAAGTCTAAACAATTTTCCTCCCAAAGAAGAAATGTGAGACTCATTTTGGTAATTAAAGAATCTTAAGATGCTTCCCATCATAAAGAGTAATTGATTCTACCATGTCTGGGTGTTGAGACGAAGGTTTTTGAAATCCAAGTAAATCTAACCTCTTTTGACCCCGTCCCTCAGGCCCCTGTGGGGTGGGGACTGTATAATTCACAATTCTGGTTCATCTTAGGCCTGGAAAGGTTTCTGAAAATTTTTCTTGAAATCAGATCAGCGGACTTTGAGAAGAAGTAAAACATGTTAAATTATTAATGGATGCATAACGCCAGATGAAAGTGATTGCAATAGGTCATCATCAGTGACCTAAAAATACAACTAGTTAATAAATTTATAGAACAACAATATATGTGAGTATTACCAAACATGGGTTTTTGCTAGACAAATACAGTAAATTTTAACACTAATTTGTATATCAGTGCTAATATGTTGTTTTACATGGTAAATCATACTCGGAAGCTTTAAAATTTTTTTTAGATATAGTTACGACATATTTGAATACAAACATGTTTTGATATGACAAGTTTTTCATTTCTCATCTTTCCCAGTTCATTCTTTATAATGATTACATAGGTCTGTTATTCATATTGCAAAAAAATACAGCAGAAACTAATATCTGTGATGTGCACAAAGAACACATATGACAAATGATATTTAATATTGCTTCGACCCATGTTTAACCATCTTAGTTTTATAGCAATGTTTTCACAAGGAATCACCAGACTTCAGTTTTACCAAACCTGGGTTTTACATACAGTACAGATGCTCAAATTTTTATTGGCATGTTGAGAATATCTGCTTAACAAAGGAAATTTTCTTAATGTTTATCAAATAACTATGTTAAAAAAATTACGAAAACAGAAAGATTTTTTTTAAAACATTTTCTTCAGGTTGGTGTAATATCAATAGAAGTTCTTAAAACACAACCGATACAAGATCTGATTGGTTTGAAGAACTGCTATTCTATATAAGCAATGACTTCTGCAATCTGTATACTGGGAACAGTTAACACAAAAGAATAATTCCCTAGCATTATTTTGAAAAGTACCTATAGCATCACAAAACGCTCAAACAAGGCCATGTACAAGCACCAGGTGTTCAGAGATCTTAAGTATGCAATCTTAATACTCTGACTAGACAATACATATTATCACAAGTTGCACTATGCAATGTATTTTCAACTAATCACATAAACGGTAACTTCTACTTCTAATTGACAACCTTACAAAAGACACAGGTTGAATATTAGGAGTACATGTATTGATTTGTGCATCTCTGTGTTTTTTACATGTATTGATTTGTGCATGCTCTGTGTTTTATACATGTATTGATTTGTGCATGCTCTGTGTTTTTTACATAATTGATTGGTGCATGCGCTGTGTTATTTTACATATATATTGATTTGTGCATGCTCTGTGTTTTATACATGTATTGGTATTGTATTTTACTAATACAGCAAATATTGCTTGTTTTTGACGACATTTATCTTGAACTATGGGACCTTTACTTAAGTCTAAAACTGGGACCAGAAAAAACATTACTTTATAAACGGAAGACGTTTCTCTTTGGTCTGAACTACCTGTACATACCTGGAGAGATGACCAAGAACTTTCACTCAATGTTGATAATGAAAATTTGTGGTTCCAAAGAATTATAATACCTAGTAAATATAATTATCTATCCACAATGATATCTTAAGGAACCAATAATATAAAGTAAATCATCAACATTAATATCACTTTAGGTCAACAGCTTTACCATGTCACCTTGGAATATTATCTTCAGTGGCGGCAGGTTATCAGAGATGGGAACCAGAGGAAAATGTTTTTATATAAAGTCAACAGTCTTGAAAATTCTAGTCATCCTTCGTGATCACTTCTGAAGCAGTGGTCATCTCTGTAGTGGTAATTTCTGTAGTGGTCAGTGGATGTGGTTTGTGCGTACTGATGACCGGTGCTGAATCATTCCCACAGCTGACTGATTGGTAGGTGGTCAGTGATGTCATCTCAGTATGTCCAAGGTAACTATAACTAACTGTAAAACTGTAACAGAAAACACAGAGTGACGTTTTTCCAGTAACAGATCATTTTGGTAGTTTTTAATTACATACTTCGTTTTCAAAATGAAGAGTTATCTGCCCTTTGCCTCTTATTAGTACATGTTGATTGTTATGTCATTAGTTTGAATGAGATACCTGTGTTGTTCTCTCACAAATTATCTCAGAAACATACAACAAAACAATCAATACCTCCTCAGAAGAGCAGATAACTCTACTTCACCAAAAAGATGCAACAGATGTAAAAGGAACGCATGGAATATTGTAGTACGACATGATTTTTTAACAATTATCATACTTACTCGAATACCATTACAAATTCATGGAACCAGGTGTTGGTGTCATTGCATAAAATTCTGCAAAAAAGGTAATAAAAGATATTCTAATTCAAAAAAAGCTGAAGATTTTTTGGGTAAAATCACATTTACTAACAAACATTCAGAAAGCTAAAGGAATGGAGAGGGGAGATAACCAAATATTGTTTCTTGTGATTATTTCTTAACAAATTGTAAACAAAACTTGTTATAACAATTAATATGAATTAAAGCATAAAAAAAACATATATGTAAATCAATTTAATACAATAACTAAATCGTGAAAGCATGACAAAACATATGAATTAATAACAAGTTTTATATAATCAAAACATTTGTAAAGGAAATGTAATGCTGATCAACTTACGCCATGTATCCAAATTCATTTAACTCGTTAAAGTTGATTTTGGCATCTACAGAAGTTGATACTGTATCTCGTATCGGTACGGTGGTTGTGTTTTTGTTATTAGAAGTGGTTATAACTTTGGTTCGAAACAGCACTGCCATAGCTATGCTATTGACAGTCACAGAAAAGTAATTCTGATTAGTGATGTTTATTGGATTCTGAAAAAAAAAAACACAACAAGAATTATACATCTGATATACATATCTTCATTCTAAGAACTTTTTTTCAATTTTCCATAATCCTAGAAATCTGTTTATATAATTAACTGTGACATCTAGTGTGTAGAATTGTAAATTATAAATGCTAAATTGTAAATGATAACTTTTTCAACAGACAACATCTTCAAAGCAGTTTGTAAAAGTAACTCAGAACAAAAACATTTTGGCAGTAATCTTAATTTGTTTATGTAAAATAAAGTCAAAATGCTCTTTGATTAAGAGATACAGTGTATATATCAAACAAAACAGAACGCAGAGCTGTATAGCAAAAAGTGCAAGAGTTTGGCACAAATTTCCCATCTCAGTTCTCATTATGCCAAGCTCCTGTGGAATAATGGAACACGGACATACACAATGTTTATATCCTGACTATATTCATAACTTACTGTGATTAGGAATTGGACACTTTGGACTGCGATGGAAAGATTTTGAGGATATAGGAATGGTTTGTTACTTTCAATTGTCACATTCCGAGGGAACATGAAAAAGAGCAGAAGGCCTGCGGCAGTCAGACAGAGAAACACTGCCAAACATACATAAAGGTACCTGTAACAGAGAATATGATAGAGATAAGTATAAACAGCATGTTGAGTTACTATAGAACTATATATAATCCACAAATATTAACCATAGTTATCCTTCAGTGAGCTCTCCAGGGCAAAACTAAAATTCTAGTTCATATTGTAGGAAGTAGATTTTGTTGTCATTGTGGAATATTGATATATCTGAATTGCCTGATAAGTATAGTGTACCATGGTTATAATCATTGCAAGCTAGATTACAATGAAAAACAAAAAATAGTATCAAAGTCTTAAATTCTAAATGATAGATATATATATATCGTATAAGAACTGATAAGTAAATATGTCAGTATCATCTCACACTTTAACACCAAATATGGTATTCAGCTTACAACCCAAGGCATCAATTAACACATGGATTTTAACTAAACGTAGGGGGTACTGGTGGAACAATCACTGAACTAGTATTCGTTTGCATCTTTACGACAGAATAATTATGATAGATGTGTATGGGCTTACTACCAGACATTGGCCTATTACCAGGGTTTTTTTTTTCACTATTTGTATATTTTTACTAATGAGGTAAGTAATCAGGAATTGTGCTGGCTCACTGCACTTCTTCATTTGGTGCAAACAAATTTTACCACTTTTCAACAAATAAACGTAATGAAATGTCTGTGCATCCACAATAATAAGTACATGTACAATTAAAGAGCAATACTTTCAGATAAAAACCACTGAAATAAGATGATCTCTAAATTATGTATGTTTTCCGTATACTTGATTGAAAGAAAAGGACAATTATTGGTTTAAGTACAGTGAAATCAGCTTTTTAAAATAATATTCTATTTTCCAGTATAAATTATTATAGTAGCTAATTCAAATGGTTCAATTGAATCTAATAAGAAAAAGTCATGAACATTTTATGACTTAAGTGCAATATCAATATTAGAACATTTATCATATATACAGGTTGTACATTTCTCAAAACAACAATCCAAACCCTATTTCACACAGTGTTGTGTCTTGCAAGTGCAAATGCATACACAGACATTTGTTTTTGATATTCCATGTACATTACGGATTGACAGATTTCACTTCAGCAATCTTTGTTTGATTGCTCTGCATATTCTTTTCATGCATTAACAGAAAATAACATGAAGAAGACATGTATATCAACATCTGATGTTCTTTGGAAAATATGATAACAGATGTCATCAGGACAAACAGTTAGTCCTGGTGATATACTGATTGAAACTCTGCTTGGTAGTAAGTATCAGGGCTACTAACGTTCTTCTTGGTTTCAAACGTTTGTCTTTCAGAGGAATCAACGCCACCAGCTGTCCTTCTTGTTCTGTAACAACAGAAAAAGACAAGTATATGCAACAAAAATATAAAATAAAACATATTACCTAATTTTGATATCCTAAAACTAGTTTAACATCCAGTTCCATTATCTCTGTACAATTGATTTGGTGGATTTGTTGAAAAACTGTCACACTCATGAGAAATAGTCTTGAAATGTCTTTCAAATAAATTAATTCATCATCAACAAGATGTGTTTATAAGACACTATTCCCTTGGTCGCAACAAAATTCTGAAGTGGGACATTACTGTGTAAGGCATGTGCTAATTGCAAGCACACTTTGTGAGACATTTATGTCTTCATTGTGGTAATGATTTGACAGTTTTAATTCATTAGTTACAATGTTAAAAATTTTCAAGTGTAGGTCAAAGATCATAGTCACATGGCAAAAACATTTGGTACCATCGGAAAGGTCTCATCACAAAGAACACATGTCTGAAATTTCAGAGTCCTACCTCTAATGGTGCAATAGTTAAGGCCAAAAATTTTTTGTTGTCGGAAAGGTTTTCTCACAAGGAACACACATGCTAAATATGAAAGCCCTACCTCTTACGATGCAATATATATGTGCAAATTTAAGTTGACAACAGACAAACAAACAGACAGTACAAAAATTATATGCCCCCCGATCTTTTGATCCAGGGGCATAAAAATTTAGGAGCTGCATATGATATGAGACTGTTTGGCTACAACATGATATAGTATTATAGTATTAGACATGGTCAAAGTTAATCAGCTGATGAGCGTGCTTCTATAGCTCAACAGAGCACTGGACGATCACATCAAAGACCATGATTAAGTAATGTAAAGAATTGGTGTTGATTTTTTTTTATTTCATACATATTTTATTTTAATTCTTATCAAACAAATCTAAGAAATTTTCATTTGTTGTGAGCCTTGATAAGTTTCATAAAATCAAACATGAAATGAAAACATATCTAAGAAATTTCTAACAAAACTCAGTAAAGCTTATTTTGATAGTTTAAAGCTAAAAAGAGGACAAAATTAGACAGAGACAGTCATTTTGTTGCATGACTTTCAATTCATGACACAGCCAATAAAAAATGTTCCAGGGTATATTACACTAATGACATATATGAAAAATATATATTACACTCAAAATCACTCAATAAAAGAATGAGTACGTGATAATACATGTACATTTCTTTAATTTCCCTCAATCATTGTACTGGAGGCCAGAAAGTTTGCTTCCTGTTGGGTTGCTCAACAGTCTGCAGCAACATATATATTTTCCCTCTTCTGATTGGTTGAATTGGTTACTGTGATTAATATATACTTTTTCCATTAAATGAGTGGCCTTTATCAGCATCATTAAAGCCATGTGTGAAATATGTTCACAGTGCTAGGCAACTCCACAATGTTTTCCCCTGACCCTCAAAAAACTTCATTTTGACTTTTAAATCTGATAATTAAAGGACCCCCAAAATTAATTAGGTTTTATAATATTTCATCTAGAACTGAGTCATGAGACTTACAATATGAGGGGCCCAATGAAAACCAAGACTCCCTGGATCATACTTAAATTGCGTGTAAGCAAGCTATTGAGGACAGATGGTCTTTGTCATAATGCCGTAAGTCCGTGCAGTGGCGGGCACCAATTCAAATAGTGTTTACAGTTGGTCAAGTGGGTCACAATGACCATATATTCTGGGTTCAGCGAAAACCACTAAAGATATTACATTATGTGCATCCGTAGGCTCCACACGGGACATAACATACAAATAACATTAATTATAACATGCAAGGCGTTGTGACAATAGCTGTTATATCAAATGCAAGACACAGTCCCAGTATGTGGTAAAGACAAGCAACCGACAGACCGCCTATGTCATGGAGTTATAGGTATGCCTATTTGTCCAAAACAAAACAAATTGCTACACAATTATTACCTTTTGGTATACTTCCATTTCCCCTACATGTTGGGCATGGGACGCTTCCACGCAGTAGCTCGGTGTATGTGTTTGTATCTACCCCTCTTACATCACCAACTTGTGACGAATTGAGGACCAATTCCTCGGTCGATCGAATGTTGACATTTTCACGAGGCGGTGGCACGTGATGTCCATTTGTTTGAGGTGTCGTTCTATATGAGTCGCCTGAAAATTCACCGGAGTCGTCTGTATCATTCACCAGCTTGTGACGATCTCCGTCGATGGATCCACCTATTTGGTTCATTCTGATATTCTAAAGACTAATTGCAAACCAAAATGGAAATTAAACAACCTACATCTTCGAATACGACGTAACCACCATGTTGTAAATATGGTTAATCCAAAATGCAAACTCCTACTAGGTAAATTATAATAAACGCATCATATCTATTGAAATTATAAATAGAATTTAAAATTAACTTAGAAAGAAAAGGAAATTGATGTTAAATGATATTTCAATTAGTTCAGTAACAAAAGACCAACAGTTGTGCGTTCTGCTGTATAGCAATTAATACGCACTGAAGGATTTTGTAATTTATATTCAACCGAAATGTGTTATTGGTAGCAGTACACAGTTTCTCGGTGTGGCCATGGGTGATTTTTTTGCTCATTAGATTACCCCATTATAAAGGTTTTAATTAAAAATGAAAAAAAAAATCCTTGCTAAAATTGGTCCTGTCATGTTAAAGTGGACAATGTGGGGTTTCATTTTTTTCAGGATAATATTTTAGCTTTGTGTTGGAGATTACTGTTTGGGCAGTCTCGAATCTGTGTCTACGCACCAAAAACTAGCTTTACAGGAAGTGAAATTTTCATAGTGTTTACATGTGGTCATGTTATGAAGAATTTCCGAGTTGGAATTTGCTGAAATGTAAGTACTTTGTTACCACGACAGTGTTGTTGATTGTAAGATAGGTGATTAGAATTAAATTTCTCCTAGAAAGTTGTAGTGTTGGATTGGAATTAGCAGTATTTTTGCATTTTTAGCATTTTTTCAGTAGGTAACCATGACAATCAAATGTCAGAAATCAGAGGAATTTTTTTTTTTACACAAATTTCATCTCTCTACTGTTAATGTAATTGTTATACAGTTTATAAATATATATACATGTAATGATGTATTTTTCATAACCAATCTGCTATACCTGTATATCTCAAACATGACAAATAATTTCAGGAAAAATGCAAATTAACTGTTTACTGCTACCTTATAGCACATTAAAAAAAATTAATCTATTTAAAATGTGCTTTACTATGTTTAATTAAGTTTAATCCTTTCCATAATTGCTATAAATACATAAAAAACACACTGAAACTTGTTCATAATGATTTTATTTTAATTTCATCAGGGGTGCATAAAGGGAGGTAATTTGGGTGCTCTTGTGGGTGAGAATTTCAGCTGTTTTCAAAAGGCTTGGTATCAGTTTGAAAACTGTTCTACAGTAGGTAACAGGTATGAAATAAGTCAGTAACAACCTTAGAATGTATTTAGACTGCATTATAGGGCAATTCCAATAGTTTAAGGTGTGGTATCCATGGTAACTAAGAAGGAAAGTATGAGTTTTTGAATTTTGGATAAATTCTCTGTTTTGATGATTTTTACTCAATAATGTGTGTGTATTTCTCATAGATTGGGCATACAATCATGTTAATATTGTCATAAAATTACATTTCCATAGTTACTGCTGTAAAAAAGACTATTTTTCGAACAATATTGCAATGTAATAGGGTTTCTAATATTACACTTGAAGAAGGGTGGGGGGCAGTAAGCATAGGTGTTTGTGATGTCATACACATGACATTTAAGAATATCTTATGTCATATCACTGTTAATTACTTTCGAGAAATGTGTCAGATGCTAATTTGAAGTTTTTGTTGGATTTCTAGCCTTCACTATGACATCACAGTGCATTGGTGAAGCCATCATTAGCAATTGATGACGTCATAGTACTGATGACATCAGCTGTTACCATGACGTCATAACATAAGACTTTATATATGTAGTATCAATCTGCTTTTCAGTTATCTAAATTCACAGAAGCACAAACTACTTGATTCAGTTTCAATTGCAACTTTATTCAAGTAAATTTAAGACTTATTGAGGTTTTAATTTTTCAAATTACCTCCCTTTCTTCCTAATTTGAGAGCAGAATTGGTCAAAACACACCATGCGGGAAAATCCATATTACTCGATAGCTATTCAAGATACACAGTAAAGCGATATATTGTTTTGTTCGTGTGATCATTTTCTAGACACTCAGAGGGATTTTAATGAAATTAAAAAAACTAATTGTGATGTATAAGGTAGCAGTACACAGTTTCTCGGTGTGGCCATGGGTGATTTTTTTGCTCATTAGATTACCCCATTATAAAGGTTTTAATTAAAAATGAAAAAAAAAATCCTTGCTAAAATTGGTCCTGTCATGTTAAAGTGGACAATGTGGGGTTTCATTTTTTTCAGGATAATATTTTAGCTTTGTGTTGGAGATTACTGTTTGGGCAGTCTCGAATCTGTGTCTACGCACCAAAAACTAGCTTTACAGGAAGTGAAATTTTCATAGTGTTTACATGTGGTCATGTTATGAAGAATTTCCGAGTTGGAATTTGCTGAAATGTAAGTACTTTGTTACCACGACAGTGTTGTTGATTGTAAGATAGGTGATTAGAATTAAATTTCTCCTAGAAAGTTGTAGTGTTGGATTGGAATTAGCAGTATTTTTGCATTTTTAGCATTTTTTCAGTAGGTAACCATGACAATCAAATGTCAGAAATCAGAGGAATTTTTTTTTTTACACAAATTTCATCTCTCTACTGTTAATGTAATTGTTATACAGTTTATAAATATATATACATGTAATGATGTATTTTTCATAACCAATCTGCTATACCTGTATATCTCAAACATGACAAATAATTTCAGGAAAAATGCAAATTAACTGTTTACTGCTACCTTATAGCACATTAAAAAAAATTAATCTATTTAAAATGTGCTTTACTATGTTTAATTAAGTTTAATCCTTTCCATAATTGCTATAAATACATAAAAAACACACTGAAACTTGTTCATAATGATTTTATTTTAATTTCATCAGGGGTGCATAAAGGGAGGTAATTTGGGTGCTCTTGTGGGTGAGAATTTCAGCTGTTTTCAAAAGGCTTGGTATCAGTTTGAAAACTGTTCTACAGTAGGTAACAGGTATGAAATAAGTCAGTAACAACCTTAGAATGTATTTAGACTGCATTATAGGGCAATTCCAATAGTTTAAGGTGTGGTATCCATGGTAACTAAGAAGGAAAGTATGAGTTTTTGAATTTTGGATAAATTCTCTGTTTTGATGATTTTTACTCAATAATGTGTGTGTATTTCTCATAGATTGGGCATACAATCATGTTAATATTGTCATAAAATTACATTTCCATAGTTACTGCTGTAAAAAAGACTATTTTTCGAACAATATTGCAATGTAATAGGGTTTCTAATATTACACTTGAAGAAGGGTGGGGGGCAGTAAGCATAGGTGTTTGTGATGTCATACACATGACATTTAAGAATATCTTATGTCATATCACTGTTAATTACTTTCGAGAAATGTGTCAGATGCTAATTTGAAGTTTTTGTTGGATTTCTAGCCTTCACTATGACATCACAGTGCATTGGTGAAGCCATCATTAGCAATTGATGACGTCATAGTACTGATGACATCAGCTGTTACCATGACGTCATAACATAAGACTTTATATATGTAGTATCAATCTGCTTTTCAGTTATCTAAATTCACAGAAGCACAAACTACTTGATTCAGTTTCAATTGCAACTTTATTCAAGTAAATTTAAGACTTATTGAGGTTTTAATTTTTCAAATTACCTCCCTTTCTTCCTAATTTGAGAGCAGAATTGGTCAAAACACACCATGCGGGAAAATCCATATTACTCGATAGCTATTCAAGATACACAGTAAAGCGATATATTGTTTTGTTCGTGTGATCATTTTCTAGACACTCAGAGGGATTTTAATGAAATTAAAAAAACTAATTGTGATGTATAAGGTAGCAGTACACAGTTTCTCGGTGTGGCCATGGGTGATTTTTTTGCTCATTAGATTACCCCATTATAAAGGTTTTAATTAAAAATGAAAAAAAAATCCTTGCTAAAATTGGTCCTGTCATGTTAAAGTGGACAATGTGGGGTTTCATTTTTTTCAGGATAATATTTTAGCTTTGTGTTGGAGATTACTATTTGGGCAGTCTCGAATCTGTGTCTACGCACCAAAAACTAGCTTTACAGGAAGTGAAATTTTCATAGTGTTTACATGTGGTCATGTTATGAAGAATTTCCGAGTTGGAATTTGCTGAAATGTAAGTACTTTGTTACCACGACAGTGTTGTTGATTGTAAGATAGGTGATTAGAATTAAATTTCTCCTAGAAAGTTGTAGTGTTGGATTGGAATTAGCAGTATTTTTGCATTTTTAGCATTTTTTCAGTAGGTAACCATGACAATCAAATGTCAGAAATCAGAGGAATTTTTTTTTTTACACAAATTTCATCTCTCTACTGTTAATGTAATTGTTATACAGTTTATAAATATATATACATGTAATGATGTATTTTTCATAACCAATCTGCTATACCTGTATATCTCAAACATGACAAATAATTTCAGGAAAAATGCAAATTAACTGTTTACTGCTACCTTATAGCACATTAAAAAAAATTAATCTATTTAAAATGTGCTTTACTATGTTTAATTAAGTTTAATCCTTTCCATAATTGCTATAAATACATAAAAAACACACTGAAACTTGTTCATAATGATTTTATTTTAATTTCATCAGGGGTGCATAAAGGGAGGTAATTTGGGTGCTCTTGTGGGTGAGAATTTCAGCTGTTTTCAAAAGGCTTGGTATCAGTTTGAAAACTGTTCTACAGTAGGTAACAGGTATGAAATAAGTCAGTAACAACCTTAGAATGTATTTAGACTGCATTATAGGGCAATTCCAATAGTTTAAGGTGTGGTATCCATGGTAACTAAGAAGGAAAGTATGAGTTTTTGAATTTTGGATAAATTCTCTGTTTTGATGATTTTTACTCAATAATGTGTGTGTATTTCTCATAGATTGGGCATACAATCATGTTAATATTGTCATAAAATTACATTTCCATAGTTACTGCTGTAAAAAAGACTATTTTTCGAACAATATTGCAATGTAATAGGGTTTCTAATATTACACTTGAAGAAGGGTGGGGGGCAGTAAGCATAG